CGCCATTGCCTCTGCTCTCTTCCAGGATTTCACCAAGTCTTACCTGCTGTAATATCATATCCTTCTTCCTATGCCCAGAATACTATGAAAGAAATCTATTAAAGCACTAATCTATTAATATCACTGCCCTGCTTAAACAACTTGCTTATTCATTGTGTTGTCTTCCTTGATCTCTTATTAACATTTAGTGCTGTTTGCAGAGCACTGAAGGCCGGTCACAGTCTGGGTTCAACCTTCGACTCAGACCTCATCCCTTTCCTCTGCTTCCTCAACATTGATCTCTTCGCTGTTCAACAAGAATTCCATACTTTATGGGTTTTGGTGTTTTTTTTTTTAACGCTAATGAGTCATTCTGGAATATTCTATTCCCACTCTTCAACTTTCTAAAGTTGCCTCATTTGTGAAACCTCCTCTGATCCTCACAGGTATAATTAGATACTCTCTCTCCAAGGTGTTTCCATCTCTCCAAAGTGTGCCCACAGATCTTTACATGTACCCCTGCTTTGTCTTTGGTGGTGCTTTGCCTTAGCAAAGATGTGCATCTTTCTCTTGACCCTGTTTAAAAATCTGTATTTCTTTAGACAACCTTAAGAGAAACTCAGGAAATACTTGTTTGATATAAATTATTGTTCCAAAGCTTCTTGATGGTTTTTGGAGCTTCACACTTGTCCCAATCTCTTCATGTTTTATACAATTTCTGACTTTAGGTGAGAGTTTGAGAGTTTCAGTCAGGTAGTCCACATTCACACTAATCTAGTGTCCCACTTCTAATACTCTTCTTTATTTTCTGGGCCTAAGTTCCTGTTCCAGTTACCAGTCCAGCCTCTCAATTCCTCATGGACTGACCTCTGTATTGCTTTTGCTCCTTGTCCTCCCTACTCCTCCCTCCTCCACTGGGGTTTTGGCTGGTGTTTTCTACCTCGTAATACCTGTATCCTGCAGTTTCAGAGATATCCTAGCATCATCTTAAGCTCACTGTTACCCTGCTTAGCTTCTCTCTTAGAAAACTGAGTTCCTTGTGTTAGCATTCCTAATCTTGGCTCTACCTGAAATGACACCTATGTCTTCTTCTTCCCTCTGGAACTGGGTCAGCACCCTTAGAACCTGGTTCTCTTAAATGGATGACCTGATTCTGGGTACTAACCATTCTCGATCAACCTTGTGCTATTCCTTTCCAATATAGCCTGTGTTGACCTCTGTCTTTTTGATAAGGGATTATCATTCTGAAGACACACTGTTTGGCTGGGTTCTGAACTATAAATTTGCGTATGTTTGCTGTTTTTCCTTTGGCTTTATAAAACAAATCATTTTTTCCCACAGGGAGTTTATTCCTGGATTTGAAGAATCCGTGAAGAATCATGAATGACACCATGTGTTCTCCTGTGTAAGCTGTACACACCTAATTTCTCTGATACCTCTCAATCCAATGTAATATCCAGATCCTTTATGTTCTTGAATATCTTCCCATAGATTAATTTGGCACCATTTTTAGGAGTGATTTTGGTGGCTGAGATGAGAGTCAAATGTAGAGAACTTGATTAAGAAGGGGCAAAGCTGTGAGTTATTTCACTAAGGTGAGATAACATATGGATAGCAATACCTACAGGACTTGGCCTACCCTTGCATCTCACATTTTGGGTTCAAGCACAGGAGACATTTGCCATTTTCTCCAGCCTTATTTCCTGGCTAGGTTCCTTCTTCTCATAAACATTCCCACCTATTAATCATTCTTCCTCTCATGGTTCCACCTATGTCACAGGAGGTCATCTAGGTAATATTGTATGCTGGTCCTGATGTTGCCCCTTCCCATAACTCTGCCTTCTTCCTTACCCTCTCTAGATCAGATCTCGCTTGGTCATCAAACCAGGTGGTCCCATTTCCTGTGACAGGCAGCCTTTCCTTGCTTCCAGCTGCAGGGCCTTTGCCCCCTCTTGGCAAGGCACCCTGAAGTATGCTGTTCAAAGTATTCCCTTCTGGGGCTGTTCCCTGAGGCTCCAATAAGAGGAAAAGACCTTGTTAGACCTTTGTTTGAAGAGAAGGCAGAAGTACTAATTGGTGTTTGAGTGGTGGGAGCTTCACTTTGGAGCTGTACAGGCAATGCCTGAAAAGGTGCCCATTAAATATCCTGTTCTTGGGACTTCATTGTTAGCTTAACTTCTTGTCTCACTGTAGGCCAATAAGTGCAGCTCTTTGGTGAGTAATGGCCAAAGGTAGGCTCAAGGAAGAGAGGTTCATACAGGCTCCATCACAAATTAACTTTTTCCTGACCTCTCCAGATCTGGATAATCTGATAGACTGTCTGGATGGAAATGTGCAGTCTTGATATCACTGGGGAAAATCAGAAATACTGCCAATACTGTGTACATTGTCACAGTTCTATCTGGACCTTTCTTGTTATATAGATACAAGCAAGGGAGGGATCAGATGTGTGAGAATTCCTTCTTCCAAAGCAGGCAAACATCCTCCTATCCCTGACTCAACAAGAAGCTATTTGTAAATCTTCTCCTCTTTGAAGCCCACAGGGTGAGTCACAGGGAAACATTTACTGTGGTGCCTGCATCTGTGTCCTAGATTCCTCTGGTTCCAGGACCATTTACTTCCCTTTACCTACTTCCCTGGTGGAGGGAGAGGAACTGAACTTACTGGGTCAGACTTTTCGTTGAGTCACAAGGTTGTTTGCAGGGTCCTGAGGGGATAGTTGGGGTATCAGATGTAATTATTTCTTACATTGTTCTGAAGACATTGTTGTGTTCCACAAGGTGGGCTGAGGTTTAAGGAAAGGCAGCTTTAAGGATAATTTGAAGCAAATGCTCTGGTGATCAGAGCCACATTCTTGACACCCTCCTCCCACACAGCACCATACCCTGGGGGTGCTGAGGGCAAAAATGTGTGATTGGGAGGGAAGAAGGAGCAATATAGGGGAGGATATAATATTTTTGACTCGGTTGCTCCAGGTTTACTACTACACAACACCCACCCATGGGATGAATCTATCATCTTTTTTCCAATCAAATGCATTGTCTCTGAATATCTAAAGATTCTGTTGTCATTAATCAGATTCTTCCTAATGCATCATTTATTTCTTATAATTCATGGAAAATAATAACATTATTATTTTCAGCATTTGACAAAGAACTTTTGCATATTATATCTCATTGGTTTCTCACAAAGATCCTGTGAGGTAAGTTTGGATATACTCATTTCACATGTGAGAAAACAAAGGCTTGAAAATGGTTAGATGCTTTGCTTAAAGTCACACAGCTGACATATGGAAATATTACCTTGAATCAGGATATTGACTTCTGATCCAGAGTTTGTTCCATGACACCAGAACTATAGGTGCACTCAAATTTCCCATCCTCCAAGCCCTCATACCTTTTGCTGTCATTATGTAGTCTCCTTTGCCTCTGTGGTTGAAGATATAGGCAATAATTACATCATTTCTCTTGGCCAGAAAAGTAAAATGGCCAAGAAGGTCATTTTAAAGCTGTGCTTCTTTCTTGGACTATCTTCCTGGGCCAACTTCTGCTCCTTTTCCTCATGCTTAGAGGTCTCTCCTTGCTGTTGAAACTGTGAGATCAGTCCAGGTGCTTTTTTTCTACCTGGAATGCATATCACTTCTCTTATGCTCCAAAGCCCTTACAGACCCTAAGCCCAGGTCTCTGTGTGTCCTTGTTTTTTTCACATGAGATGATTGTGGTACTATAGGCATTGCGGGGTGTTGGGGAGACAAGTAATCCCTAAATCATTCTTTATCTGCCCTGCTATTTGATTCCTCTCCTGCCCACCGTCGGCCACAGGGCCCTGGATGTTCTTCCTTGGCCCTGCAGCAGTCACTGCTAACACAGAGACAGAGTGATGGCTTCCTAGCACAGGGCTCAGTGATGTGAGCTCTTGCCTGATTCTGTCACTAAATAGATCTGGGACCTGGACCATTTACTTCTTTCTAGACCTTAGTTTTCTAGCCTACAAAATGATAGTTTGGGTATAGTACATGTTGGGGAATCTGTATAATTTTGTATACTTCATGGGATTACATGAAAAATGGAATTGGAGGGAATATTTGCCCATATTCTCTCCTGTTCTCAGTTATGTGGCTCTGATATAGAATTCTTTGGCTTTCAAATGAATGTTATTATCATGAACTTCTGTTTACTCCAGGTTATCACAACTCTGAACTTTGTGTCTACCCCTATACAACACCACCTTGAAGGAGAGGGAGATACAGGAGGCAGTGAAATCAGATCTCCATTGAGATATCTGGGAGAGAAACAAGATATGCTTTTGAATAATCCAAGGAAGAACCTGATCAATATTGAGTCATCACAGACCATTTATTCTGTAACCTGGCAGTCAACCGAAGTTTAGAGTAGTCTACTGAAGTTTGGAAAATCTCTCTAAATTAAGAGATTGTCCAGATTTTAGGATTTTTGGCAGTTTCAGATGTCTGTTAGTGGTATAAGACTAGGGAACCATGTGAGGCCAATGATGATTAAATCAAGCACCAGGATTTAGAACTTGGGTATATGAGCATGATGTGAAGGATTTTTATTTAACAGCAGTTCCTGGGCATCTATTTAAATCTGGTTATGTGAATTGCTCTAGGTCACAGGTATAGTAGGATGTCTAATTCTGGGACCTGGTTTCTGATCTTGCCCAGTGCATTTCCCATGGACCAAGCTGACTGGTGTCTTCTGTATTTGAAGATCTTGCAGAAATATTGACTAAACTGAAAATTATTTCTTACTGTTTTCTGAGAACTATGGGGGAAATGTGACGGATATGGTGTGTCAGTGAGACCATATATTCTGAGCTCCCAACCTCCACATCATTGAATGTAACTTGCCTCCCTTTCTTTGCAGTGACACTTCACTCTTCTAAATGAAATGATCACCACGATTCTTTCCAATAATTCACAACTCTTCCCACATATTTTCTTTTTGACTGGCATCCCAGGACTGAGTGCTGCCCACATTTGGATTTCACTTCCTTTTTGCTTCATGTTCTTCCTGGCAGTGACTGGGAATAGTGTCCTGCTTTTTCTCATCTGGACAGAACAAAGCCTTCACCAGCCTATGTTTTTCTTTCTTGCCATGCTCTCCTTTGTTGACTTGGTTCTCTCCACTCTGCTCAAGATGCTGGCCATTTTCTGGTTTGGCATCACAGCCAACAGCTCCCACTCTTTTCTTTTCCAGATGTTCTTCATCCATGCATTCTCTGCCATGGAGTCAGGAGTGCTGGTGGCCATGGCCCTGGACCGCTTTGTGGCCATTTGTAACCCACTGCGTTATGGAATCATTCTTACTCCCATTGTTGTTGCTAAGATTGGAGGCCTGGTGGTGCTGCGAGGTGTGGGGTTGGCCATCTCCTTTCCAAGCCTGGCCCATCGGCTGCCCTACTGTGACTCCCACATGATTGCCTATACCTACTGTGAGCATATGGCAGTGGTGAAACTGGCCTGTGGGGCCACCACCATGGATAACCTCTATGCCTTTGCTGTGGCAATCTTTCTTGGTGTAGGGGATGTGTCCTTTATTGCTTACTCCTATGGGCAGATTGTGAGGACTATGATTCATTTCCTTTCACCTGAGGCATGTGCTAAAGTAGGCAGCACCTGCACGGCTCATATCTGTGTCATCCTCTTCTTCTATGGACCAGGATTTCTTTCTGTAGCCATGCAGCACTTTGGCCCACACACAGCCTCTGCTGCCAAGGTCATCCTTGCCAATCTCTACTTGCTCTTTCCCCCCGCACTGGACCCCATTGTCTATGGGATTAAGACAAAGCAGATCCGGGAGTGACTGTTTAAAATTCTAAGCCCCAAGCAGATCCATCCTACCTGAGTATAGTTCTCATCGGCTAGACTTCAGGGGCCAGGGTGACCCTCCCCTGTGAGGTAGGAGCCCCACAGCCCAGGTCATTTACCTAGTGGGGACAGTGAAGAGAAAGCAAATGAAGTTATCCAGGAAGCACCTGGAAGTTGGTAAATCTCTTCTGAGGCGTATAGTGTTTAGATATTGGGATGGAAAACTGAGACGTGCTGGGGTATCACAACTGATCAATTAGAAAGTAATTTTTTTGAATCCTTTTTCTTCTAAAAGTTTATGATTTACTTGTGTTGACAAGATAAATGCATCAGGCAATTAAGAAACAATTAGGACCTTGACAGACCTTGATCAGGTGACTGAGGAGTGCAGGAAGAGATGAACTGGGTGCATATTTTAAACACATGAAAACATGCACCACTTCCCACCACCATGACCCTGACACAGAAAGTCTGTGGGAGCAGACAGGCCCCTCTATCAGAAAAACTTTGTCATCACAGAAACAAAGGTAGCAAACTACAGTGATACTTTAGAGTTTCAAGTTTATGAGAGAAACTCTAAAATATTCATGTTCCATCTGACTCCAAAATTGCAGGTAAGCTTGATTTCTTTATTCCATGTATTTTTCAGCCTGTTTTTGAGGTGGATGACTCTCTATCATGCCCATAGTGTTATGTACTTGTAACCTCTGAAAGTAATGCTAATTCTTCTTTTATTTCTTCATTTTTAGTCTCAAGTGCAAAGACTTGAGTTAAAATTTATTGCACATAATAATTATCATTCTAATTCTTGTTTTGTTTGTTTATTTTCTGTCTTCATTCCTAACTCTTTTGCCCATTCTCTTCCAGTTCGTACCATTGGCACTCACTTTAATGTGTTTGTTGTATGTTAAGTATTTACATACCCTTACAATGTGTGTAACGTTGACTGAGTGTTACATATTTCTAATATACATAAATACCCTTCTTTAGTTCCTCAAGTGTCCATCCTTCCTCCAGCCGTGGGTAGTCTGGGCTCTTCCTAATGGAATGCATCTCCCTGTCTTTATACTCGACATTCCTAATCATCTTGAACTTCAGTTCAAACCTCACCTCTTTGAAGAAGATTCTTCTAACTAGATCAGGTCACTTGTTTCTGAACTCAGAACTCCGTGTATATTTATTTCATTATCCATCATAATTTATAACTATATATATAACAATTGGTTGAATAATCTCTGCTCCCATCCCTACTAAGTGGTGAATTGTATTCTTAGCATAGTACATGCACATGATAGGCTCTCAATAAACGTTTGCTCAATAAATAAAACATTATTTTAATGGACTGTGTCACTGCTAGCACATTTGCTCATTGGTCACATTGACATATGTGTGTTTTAGATAAATACATAAATCTCCAAAGTGTAACACATTCAGCACTCAATAAATTTTTATGGAAGAAATGAGATTAGTTGTCACAAAATTACCATTGCAATCACAATTATTAACACTATTGTCTCTACTGTCATCATCATGACTACCACCACCTTAACACTGTCTTTTCAAATGTAATTTCAGCTGAGTATTTTGGACACTGTGCAGACACACTAGAAGATGTGATTACTCTTATAAGGCAGACTTACTGCTGTATGTAAGCAAAGAGCAATCAGAAAATCAGCATTTGTCTTCCATCTTTTCTTTGTTTGCTCTCCTTTTCTTCATGATTTTCTTCCTTATCCTGAGTATTTACCAGGCTCTCAGTGTGATGATGAAATGAACTTGAAAATATAGAAATTATGATGAAATGTGACAGTGCTGTGGTAGAGATTGATTCCAAGTCATAAAGGAATAATTCTTAATGAGAGGCAATGGGCAGGAATGGGGCATGGGTTGGGTCAGGTTAAAGAGATACTGTAGATGACCAGGGTTTGGAAGACTGGGCCTGGGTTGTTGGGTGAGTAGGTGGAGGGTCAAGGCTAAATTTATGGTTGCTAGGGGGAGTCTGCCTCAATCTCTTTCCTAAGTGGCTTCTGCTCTATGCCATACTTTATGACCTCATTTTTCCTCTGTTAAATATTAATCTTCAATATTATTAGTATGAAGATAGCTGATGAAATAAAGGGGAAAATGTGAAGACACCCCTCCCCGACTTTTGTCCTTGCTTCATGGGTGAGAATGGAAGAAAAGTCTGCAGGAAAGGCTGAGCAACCACAGGGTTGCAGAGGAAGTTTCCTTGGTGGTTGGAGGATTGAGTGATGATTACCACCAATAGGCTTAGAGGTCTTTAAGTGCTTTGGCTAAGCTTTGAATCCTCTTAGTCTGAGTATGTTGTATTAGTGTAAAATCTTGATAGTATGAGCAGTTCCTGTTCAGCTCTTACTCTGTGGTAACTTGAGCCATTGAGAAAAAACCTTTGCACATAAACTCTCTCGTTTAATGTCTACAAAATGTGCAGGAAGCTGGTGCTCTCATTATTCCAAACTTTTTATGAAGAAAATGTTATACTTTCTCCTAAGTGGGGACCATTCATTTTCTCATACTTCTACCCCTGTTTTGGCAGTGAGTTCACTGTTCTTGTTCCTAAATGCAATTTTCAATTCTTTCCTGTAAAAAAAGTCTAGCAAACAAACAAACACAGACTGGTGCTTTTGAGGTTCATGTCATTCATGCGTATAATTCTCTACCACTCCAAGTTATTGATATTTAACCTGGTTGCATTCCAAATGATGACTTGATTAATATCTTCTCTGTTTTTTGGTGGGCCATAGTCTTGGTGGGAGACTTCAGTATTCATGTGAATGACCCATTGAACACTCTGGGTCTTCATGTTTTTGATTTCTTTTCCCCAAAAGACCCTTGCCTCATTTATCCATTCCCATGGCATATTCTTGAACCTCTCTAGAGACCACTGCATTTGTTTCCAGCAGATTTCCCAGCGTCTATGCTTCACTCCTTCCTATCCATACTCCTAGTGTGGTATTAGACAATAAGATTCTGATCATCTCTAAATCTTCTGCTTAAAATCTTCACGACTTTTCATCACCCTTTAACATGACTTAATGTGCATGCTACAGTTTCTGCTTCCACACCAGGCTCAGTTCCTGAGAACTACATTCCCAAATTTCTTGATTCTTTCAGGTCCTTGACAATATCAATTTCCCTTCCCTCCTGCATCAGGGATTTTGTGTCCTCAGCCTACCCTCGCAGTTCCCTTAACTTTTAACCCATTTTTCTGGTCACTAATTTGAATCAGGAAGGGGTTTGCCAACCTCCCTAGACTGATAAGATTTTCTTATTATATGCTTTATGAAATATTTTATGCTTTATAACACTGTAGTTTTAATTTAGAGAAATTTCATTGTTAGTTATTTCTGTGATCATCTAATTAATATATATCATATCATGATCCGTGATGACAAGGGCCATTTTATTATATTAATTGTTTTGTCTGACATCTAGTAGAGTACTTGGACTTGATTGATATTTAATATCTATTGAATGAATGAATAAATGAGCCTTCCCATGAGCTATACATGAAATACTTGTTGATTGGAGAAATGAAAAGACTGCAATTGAAACATTGTTCCAAAGGGGAACATGGTCATTGAGTGGACTGATAGTTGCTCTGTCAGACAAGGGACAAAGGAAAAAGTCTGCTTGGTGATGGGGGAGATATGATATTGGAGGTCTTAGCTTATCTCATTGGGAACTTGCTGGGATGGGCTATCTGAGAAGCTATATTCATCACATATTTGCCATGGTGGGGGAATTGATGTCCATGGATCTGTCACAATCCCCCAGAAGAGAAGCAGAGGGTTCAATTCACCTATGATGGGTGGCATTTGTCTTAGGTTAAGTTCTCCAGAAATAGACTCTCAGGCAGAGATTTATATTCAAGAAGCTTATTGTGAAGTGTACTTGGAAATGGCACCTGTCAAGGAATTATACAAGCAGCATGGAGTAGAGGAAGAAGTTAAACTGTGATCCAATTGCCCCAGATGCCTGAGCTAATTCCAGGAGAGGCTCTTGAGAGGGATGGCCTTTCAGTGATGGTTCAAACTGAAGAGAGAAGGTCAAGTCTTTGTATTCTTACATACACCAGTCATTGGGTGAGAGCTATACTCAGGAAGGAAAAATAGCCTTTGGTGAGTCATCTCTCTTTGTCCAAAGGAGAGTGACTCAATTATGAGCTTTGAGCAGTCAACACTCAGCAGATGGAAGATAGAGCATATTGAGCCACAGAATCCACTAAAGAATTTATTGAGTCTGCATTTGTTCTGTGAGAACAAGAAGTCTGAGCTTATAGAGCCATGTGAGTTTTCCTAGCTCACTGAGCATGAGGTTTCCTAGCACAGCCATCAGGATGTACAGGCTTAGGGATGATGACCAACACTGGAAAGAAACGGGCCACCTGTTCAGGGGCAGGTGACATTCCCTGTTCTACCTCTCTGCCCAACCAGCTATCCCTGGGGCAGTAGACTTAGCTTTGTGTGCCTTCAGCCAATCTAGAGGCTAACTTTGGATCTGTCCAGATTGTCTGTGTGTCCTCTGGGACCTGCCAATTCGTAATAATATCTCACCAGCCCAGTGCCTTGTTCACAGTCACCAGCTCTGCCTTGGGTAAGTACGAAGAATGGACCTGCCTTTCAGGGTAAGATTAAAGAACCAAGTATGAGTCATGTATAGTTATAGAATACCTACATATCAAGACTTTAATTTAGTATTATTTGTAATAAATATGTAAGATTTATATCACTTGTTCTACCATCCAGTGAGATATCTTGATTCAGAGAGTTTAAGTATCCTGCCAAAGTCATTTATAGAAGATGAAAGACAGAATTTAAAACCTTGTATGTCTGCATTCAGAGCTTGTGCTTATTCCACTACACTGTGAAGCCTCTACCAGCTAGTTTGTAGTTATAGAATTTAGTGAGATATGATCCTTTTCTTGAAACAAACCACTAAGGCAATGAAAGAGTTCCCATAATATAGATATAGCAGGAAATTGTGGATGAGCAAAGAAAGGTCATAAAAGAAAGTGTCCTAACACAGTCAATGAGACCTTCTAAGATGCTTTTTAGAACCCTCTGACTTCAGAGTGGGGAGTGGGTTGAAAAGGATTAATTGCAAAGGCAGAGAGAGCTGAGGAAACAATGCAGGTGAGAGAAGTTGGGAGTGTGAATTAGGCGGTCATTTGGGTTTGAGAAAAAGGAGTGAATATAAAAGAGGTTAAAAATACAAACAACAGCAAGTAGTGAATAGGTAAAAGGGATGAGAGATAAGAATGAGTAAAGATAGTTTCCAAGTTTCTACATTGGGTTGGATAGGTAGATAGTGATATAATTCATAAAAATATGGACAAAAAGGAGGTGCAGCAGATTAGGGAAGAAGAGGTGAGTTAATTCAGTCTTCAATATGTTGAGTGCAAAGTATAGGTATTTAGGAAGCAAATGGAAAGATGAGTTTGTGTTCCAGAAAGATATTTGACTTAGACACATAGATTTGGAAGAAATTAAACTATAGAAATAGTTAAAACCATGCAAATGGATGAATCTAATCAGAGGTAATATACAGAATATAAAAGAGAGAAGAGGATTGAACCCTGGAATCAACAATATGTAATGGTAGGTAGATAGAGAAGGCGGTGGGATGGGGAAACTAGGAGGAACAACTGTACAGTTCTGTATCCTGGAAACTGAGGGACACTCATTTAAAGAACAACAGATTGATTTACAGTATTCAGTAATGCCAAGAGGTAATAAAGAGAATGCTTTCAAACTGACATTCCAAATTATAAATAATTGAATGGTAGAGTTTAAAAAGCTCTCTAAAAGGAGCATATGCTTACTTGTCTCTAAATGAAACCAGACTAATTCTAATTCAGACATGTGAATGTCTCACTTTTAAAAAATTATCTCAAGAAAAGGAGATTTTCTTCCTTGTATTTAACTTTATTTCCTTGTGTTGCAGTTTAAGCCTCTTTCTTCTTCTCATGAAGATAGTAGCCAGATCTGGGCAATGTGATAATACATCAGGAATGGAGCAATCATGCTTTTGGTTTCTTTTCCTTCTTCCCTCTCTGAGCCATTGATGATGGCCCTTAGTAATTCCAGCAGGAGGCTACTCCAGCCTTCTTTTTTCCTGATTGGCATCCCAGGTTTGGAAGAAAGCCAGCACTGGATAGCATTGCCACTGTGTGTCCTTTACCTCCTTGCTCTAGTGGGTAATGTTACCATTATCTTCATCATCTTGACTGACTCATCCTTGCACCACCCTATGTACCTCTTCCTGGCCATGTTATCTGGCATTGACCTGGTCCTGTCCTCCTCCACTGCACCCAAAACCCTTGCAGTACTCCTGGCTCATGCCCATGAGATTGGGTACACCGACTGTCTGATCCAGATGTTCTTCATCCATGCGTTCTCTTCCATGGAGTCAGGTGTACTTGTGGCCATGGCTCTGGATCGCTATGTAGCCATATGTCACCCTCTGCACCATTCCACCATCCTGCATCCAGGGCTCATAGGGCGCATTGGCATGGCAGTGCTGGTGAGGGGATTCCTCCTCCTCCTCCCTTTCCCTATCCTGTTGCGGAGACTTGTCTTCTGCCAGACCACTGTCATAGGCCATGCCTATTGCGAACATATGGCTGTGGTAAAACTTGCTTGCTCAGAAACCACAGTGAACCAAGCATATGGGTTAGCAGTGGCACTGCTTGTGATTGGGCTAGATGTCCTGGTCATTGGTATTTCCTATGCCCTCATCCTCCAGACAGTGCTGAATGTACCAGGTGGTGAGGCCCAACTTAAGGCGTTTAGCACTTGTGGGTCTCATATTTGTGTCATCCTGGTCTTCTATGTTCCTGGAATATTCTCCTTCCTTACTCACCGCGTTGGCCACCATGTACCCCATCATGTCCATGTTCTTCTGGCCACACTCTACCTCCTTGTGCCACCTGCACTCAATCCTCTTGTCTATGGAGTGAAGACTCAGCAGATCCGCCAGCGAGTACTCAGGGTATTCTACACAAAAGGATGGATCTGAACATATACCAATTATTTTCTTCAGAGGCTCCTGTCAAAGACACTGCCAGGAGCCCATGGCTGGTCTAGAGTATATGGACGAAGGTCATTCCATAAACAGAAGTCCCTCTAGTCCTACTAGTCTCATGGCAAAGAACACCTATGGGTACTTGGCTCCATAGCTGCTTCAGATGTACCTGAAGCAGATAGCTGGATTTGCAAATATTTTCCCCGTCCTTTCTTTTGCTCCTTATGCCAACATTTCTCTACTCCTTGTGATGGAAAGGACTTGGGGATAGGAAAATAGATAATAGCTCCGGATATGCAATTTTTCTGTCTTTACCCAATGACTGACCACGGAACATCATCTGAAATCGAAATGGGAATTCCCAGTCTTTGCCTGGTTTTAGTTTTAGAGTATTTTCAGACTCTCTCAGTTAGCGCTGTGAGCTGTGGGTCACTCGGCTCCTGTGTAGCAAAGGAGTGTTCCTTAAAGTCTTTGAGAAGTCCACAATGTGAGAAAACACTTTCATTGCAATATGGGTCTTACTAACTTACAAAACAAACTTAAGTGAGGCAGATACTGTAATAACGTCTATGAATGATATGGCCCGACCCCTTCTTTAAAAGAAGAAACATATGTATATAGTGGATCCTTTTAAAAAAAAATCTGTGTATTTAATTTATTGTACTTTAATTTATTTATATTTTTGATTTGAATAAAGAGAAAATAAGACCAAGTATTGAATACATATAAATTTTGTAAGTATTAACTTAATAATCATCAGAATCTAAAACATAAAATGTGCTAGAGTCTGGTGTTGGTAAACATAGCTTTGGCAATAAATGCAAAAGCAACAATGCAACTTAAAAATGAGTTTCTGTTTATGAAATGTGGATATGTATTGATGTTAATTAGATCGCCCATTTACTAACAGGAACTGGGTAAAACTTACAAGAAGATTGTCACAATTGGTGTATTGCACCCTGTTTGTTGGATGTTGCTGTAAGATCTGGCTTAACTGTGTTGTATTCCTAAAAAGTAATAACTTTTGTTTAGTCCTGGAAGAAGTGAAGTCATTGTCACCTTGAGGTAAGATGCTCAGGTGATGAGAATATCCTGTCTTGGGATTCCATAGTGGTAGAAGGGGTGGAGTGGATGGTTGGTTTTTCCAGTTTCTCCTTTCTTTGTAAATTTTACTCCGAGTAAATAGTTTTGTTGCACAGACTGTGAATTAGGTCTTTAATTTGGTTGTCTCATGTGGGTCAATTAGGGAGGTGTGGTATGAGTTGTTCTTATTGCAGGAGGAATTATACATTCTCATCACCTTGGTTCTAGCTCTAGGACTTAAACTCTGTTAAGTTGTCCAGGAGAAGCCCAGGCTATGGTCTATCACGTCCATTGGAAAACAACTCTCTTGACCCTAGAAGTACTTAATTTGGGTAGGTTATAAAAGGAAGTAGTCTTCTCTCTCCTTCTATTTATACCATTGCTGATACTGGGAATGTGGATATGATGGTGGGATCTGAAACAGCTTCCTTTGATCATAGGAGATGTGTGGTGAAGATAGCAGAGCGGCACTTTAGAAGAGCCTTTGTTCCTGATATACTCTGGGTCTCCAACTCTGACTTAACCTGAGTCAGAAATAAACATATTTGGTTTAGGCCCATATATTTTTGGAAAACTTTGTTGCAGCAGACTGACCTATAGCTTAAAAAGTACATGTTTTTCATCTCAGATCTTCCAAGTGGGATATATCTTGTGCTTGAAGTATATCTTTTAGAATTTTCTTTGGAAAGGTTTGCCATTTCTGTTTGTTTAAAATGTTTTTATTTTGCTCTCTTTCGAATTTGCTATCAGAAAATTGTTTATATCTTTTTCTTGTATTTTATTTTCTACTGTGCCTGCAGTATATCCCCTATTTTATTCCTAGCAGTGTTTATTTGTGTTTTCTCTATTTTCATCTATAAACTGATGCTAAATGTTTATCAACATTATGAAAATATTTAAATATTTAAACTGTATAGCCATTTAGCTAAATTTAGCAATGGCCCTTTTTTTGACCTTTTCTTTTCTTTTCTGCTATACCTTTCTGCCATCTTAAAGATGCATCAAAAAGGGCATTTAACAATACATTACTTATTTTTTAAGTGCCTTTTTAAATCTGCTTTCACTCCTGTCTAATGGATTAGCTTTTCTGCTTGTTTAGCTTGGTCTTTCCCTTTCTTGCTAGTATTCCTCCAATATCTATAGATTCTTACTCTTATTTATCTGTTCATAGATGAGAATTAACTGGTCTGGGTAGTTGATGGGAGTTTCCTCAGAGGCCGTGAAGGACACAGCTCCCATGCCCTGATTGTAGGACTTGTATGTCACTGTGCAGGGATTTGCTAACAGGTAGAATTCCTCTCAGGCTGTGAATAGAAAAATGAAGAGGTAAGCTGGATTCCCTCTTCTTTTGCTGAAGTAGAGAAGCTTTTTGCCTGGAACCAGAGATAGAGTACATTTTGCTGATCTGTGGAGCTGGTTTTCCATACTTTTTCTCTATTTCTAACTTGGAGAACCAAACCTATCTTGGAATTGACTCCGATTCTTTCTTTCTGGATTCACTGCAATGACAGGGTTTAGAAACACAGGGCATGGTGGGCACTCCTACAGGTCAGGCTGCAACTCTGAAAGTGAAAATGTTCACACACAGGTCTGCTTGCCCCCTACCTCCTCTTATAGACACATGCTGGCTACTGTGTGAGGACCATCAACCTAGATCACTGCCACTGGGGATGGGGGGGATCCACTCACCTCCTTCCACTGCTTCCTGGGGATCCAGTACCCCCTCCTTCAGATATATGGCTGAGTGGATCTCTCAGACATACTATTGCGCTTTGTAGAGAATCCTCTCTTGGTTAATGAATGTCCATTTAGTTGTAACTTAGAGGGGAGAGACTAAGGGAACAACTCACTGCACCATTATGCTGATATCACTCCTGGATCTCTTAATAAGAACATTTCCCATCTCTGCATCAAGTTTTAATGTCTTCAATTCCTCATTCTCTAACTCATAATCCCTACCCTCCACACACACATACCTACATTGGTTTGAAGGTTTCTTCATTCTGGCTTTTCTGTAAGTACAAGCCAATCTGATTTATGAATTCAAGAAATTTCTCAAAGAATTTTAACTGACCCTTGTACACTTCCCCATATTCTGGGACTGTTATTAAATTGTCTTATTTTCTTATTTACTTAGCCATTAAATGGGAACTTTGGGAGAGAAAGGAAGTAAATCATGTTTCCAATCCAACATCTTTAATCAGCATGATTACAATTTTAATTTAATTTTGTGATATTAATTGTATTATATATCTTTCATGTTAAACTGTAGGCTCTAGGAAGACGGGTGTCTTATATGTTTCATTTACTTCTCAATGCTAATTGCCTGACTTATTCCACAATGCAACAAACACCCTCAATAATTGTTTGTGATACAGGATGAATTTACAAACTGGATACCTCTGCACTGAGTGCTCCTTTTTTCATTTTAATAATTTTCTGTGTGATTTTCTGTTTATGATTAGGAGGACATATCTCCCATCCTAGAAATCAATGCTCTTCACCTGATCACTTCCAGAAACACCCTCACAGAATACCCAGATATAATGTTTTGCCAGCTATCTGGGCATCTCTTAGCCCAGTCAAGTTGACACATAAAGTTAACCACCACATAAATGAACTCTCAGCCAGCTCAGGGGCCAGGCTTGTATTTTGTCTCCAACAAATGTATCTGAAAACCCAGCCTGGACTCTCTCTTCATTGTAATGACAGTATAATGAGAAAAATATGTATAAATGGAGTAAATAGGCGTTAGAGACTGAGCTTTACATTTTTAGTTGGTTCCATCTTGGAAGAAGGCCTGAGGAGCATGTGAGGAGTCTCTACCAAAGAGAAAATACAAGGACGTAAAGTAATTAATTTATGTATAAAACAGTGTTATCAATAATAGCTATCACTTACACACTTCTTACTATGAGCCCAGCACTGTTCTAAGTGCTATTTATATGTTGATTCTTTTATTCTTCACAAGAAACCTGTGAGGTAAGTGTACTATTATTATCTTCATGTTAAATAAGAAAACGGAGACCCAGAGAGGTAAACTGATTTGCCCTAAGTAACACAGCTTGTAAGCGATGGTGCTGGGATTTTAACCTAGACAGGCCACTTTATAGTCTTTCTCCTCATAGCACCTTGCTATCCACCTGCCCTCCATCTTATACCATATTGGTGGTAATTTGTATTATTGAGATGTCACTCCATGATACACTTCCTCATATTCCATTCTGCCTTGGCAAGAAGGTTTTCCACATGCTGAAGTGTGTGAGTGAGCCATCTTAGAATACCATTTTGAGGGTCTGTTCTTGCATCTTCTTCTGGTACCAGTTACTATATCATGCATGGTCTAAGCCGGAAACAGCACAGGAAAAGGGTTTAACTGAAAGGAACTTAAAAAGGAACTATTTGTAGAAGTGTTGGCAGGGTCAAGGGAACCAAACAAAGCACCTAGGAGCTTTCAGCTGCAGGATGCTACTATTACCCCAGGCTTGAAATGGTGAGTGGAGGGAACACTGTTACTCCAACCTGATGAGCTCTAGCGCTGTGGAAAAGGGGCTTTCTACTAGGATGTCCAGCTAGAGAGAAACACAGCCATTGTCCTAACTGTATCAAGGTGAAGGGTGAGGTAGGAATAAGTACCCCAGCCTCTTTCTCCTCCTACATTTTTATCTCCTGCAGGTGACTCCTATTGACTGAACTGGAAGCCAGAGAGTCAGGTTAGGGAACCCAGATAAAGCAGGCCATGGAGATCAGCCTTGCCCAGCACAGAGCAGGAAAAATAAAGAGGAAATGGATTTGTGATCAAATAGAGAACAAACGGCACACTGGGTTGAACCCAACTATCTGCCTTCTCTATGGTTGGACCTAGGATATAAAGGAGAAAATAATCACACAATGAATCTGAATGGTTTTAC